TAGGGAAAGTACAGATGATCTAGGGACACCCTCCCGTGCCAGAAAGCAAGGAAGTGCTCAAAGAATAAGAAGACGTCCAAAAAACCTCTTTGTACCACACCTGCAATTTTTCTGTGTGAGAGTGTGAGACAGTTTCAAAGTAAAATCAACTATGGATCTGAAACAGAATTCTCATTCTTGTTCTTAAACACAAATGATCGCCAGAGTCACCAGCATGCCAGCACCCCTGGGACTAATCTTGCACAGCAGATTGGTGCACGAACATGTCTGTCAACAGTCCCCTTCGTCCTCTCGTCTGAAAGCAGCTCAGGGACAAGGAGAATCTTCTGAGTTTGGGGCCAGAGCACCTAAAGGTAGCCCCTTCCTTTTACTACCATAAGCTCAGGTGTAGATGAAAAGGAAGAAAAGGAAACTTGAATTTATCTACTCTGGGGACAGCTTGAGAAAAATTTTGGAATCCCTGTCAAGTCCAGCCAAGGCAGAAACAGTCAGTCAGCCTGATGTCACAGAACCTCAGTTGGTTCTTTCATGATAGCATTTCATCCTGTCTCTATCGAGCTTTTCAGAAATAAGGCCTGGCGGGGAGGGGGGGGGAGTTAGGAGGCAGGGCAGCAGTGAGTGAAGCACCGTGCGAGGCTGGCCCACAGAGAAGGGTCCATGTTCATGTCCAGAGACCTCCCTGAACACACCAGGCACGTGTGTGCCCATGATCCAGGGCTGGCAAAGGTGGGGGTGGGTCACAACAGCAAGACCTAGTGGGGGTGCTGTCTCTGTCTCTCTCCCTCATGGAAGAAATAGGGTTTAGTTTTTTAAAGAAATAAGGCCTAAAATGATTTAGTATCAAAATTGTAGTTATCATTAAAATTAAAAGACGAAAAATACTAAATTCTGAGAAGTCGAGGGCTTTACGCTGGTCAGCCAGGATTGGGAACAGCTGGGATCCCATGACCGAACATGGATGCCCATGTTCCCTCACACAGCACGCTGTTGCTCCGTTTACAAAGAGAAGATAAATGCTATTCTGTTCTCCAAGAAATGACATGTTCTGGGAACCTGAGATAGACATAAATTAATCAGGACGTGAATGAGGATCCACTTGCCAATTTCTGTGACATATCGTTCGTCTTTTACAAATAAAAATCCTCACTAGTTTGAACATATGGGATTAGTAACTGAAAAGTCTCTATATATTTTCTTTTCTTTGAATGCCTCTCTGCTTATTCTACATTATTAGTTCATTAATTCCAACACCCAGTCACTATTCTGTATGCAGGAGGGAGAAGTTACTGGTGGCCTAACAGGTTTCATTCTTTAATTACATTGCTTCTCCTGTAAAGCTCAGCAAGTTGGCTGAAGTAGGAAAATAATCTTCTTGCTTTTTCTTCAGTCTTCCAAACACAATACTTAAGAGTTTAACTGAGGAGTCAGGAAAGATAGCTGGAACCAGAAAACAAAGTCATATCAATTACTAATGTTTCCATCCTTTGCTCAGGCTTGTCTTATCTGAAGCTTGTAAAGTTGTTTAATCTTTTCCATCATCTCAGGAAAAAGAAAGCCTGGAAAATTCTGGTCATCCACAGTAACTATCAGTGGGATTTTCCATAACTATCTGGATACAGAATGAAAATCTTAAGAAGTTGATCCAATTCTAAAACTTACTTCTCAACTTATGAATAAATATCCATCCATATTTTTTTCGAATAACATCTGGTTTCTTGACCAGGCTGCTAATACCTGAAAAAGTTTTTGAGTTTATTCCAATATATTTACATTTAGATAGCTGAAAAATGCATTTATGCATCAAACATTCTTTTCTACATCTGAAGTAGGGCCAGTGATGGGACTGTGGGAAAGAACCGTGCCAAGAACTCGGGAAGAAGGGCAGTACAATTGTCTTTGAATAGTGAAACTGTGAGACCAGTACTTAATAGACCAGGGCGGAGAAATGAGAGACCACCACAAGGGGACACAAAAGCTTGTAGGCCAGCGAGATTTGGCTGTGACCCCATGAAAGGAATAATGTGCATATCTGAAAACTATATTAATCATGGAGTCAGGAAGGCGGCTTGTTAAGACAGCCACGAGCAGTAATCCACCAGGGGAAGGAGCCAGGGGCAGCAGAGACCACCGCCAAGACATCTCAGATGTGAAAGTGAATGTGGCACCTTATCCTCACCTGCGTACCATTACACAGTGCCCTGGGCTGGCCTGTCTCCTCCCTGAAGGAAAGGTCAACACCGAGCACACGGCCTAACCTGGAGCAAGCAACGATTAGACGTCTGTTCAATGAACTTGCGCCAACTCTTTGCTCACAACCTCCCGGTTATAATTTGGCTCCCCACGTAGTTCTGAGTGCAGGGAGAGAATGACGTCGTCTTGGAGACTGAGAACACTGGTCCCCATGCCAGCCGTAGAACTCTTTGAAACATAGTCTAGCATTTGAGTTTGCTTATTCTGAGTGTGTTCCCAAGGAAAGGGCCCTGTGTGAGCTGCTGAATCAAGTTTCTGAGTCCCCCAGGCTGGTGGTGAATCCCTGCATCACGGGAACTCACCAGGATGATGACAATGGGGGCAGGGACAGGGACAGCCTCACCTGGTGCAAAGCACCTTCTCTGTCCTATCAGACTACACTGGTCAGTCCTTACGGATGCTCTGGGCTTGCTCCTACTTCACCTTCTCCAGGACGTCTGGCCTAAGTCCCTCCCGAGGTGTTCACACCCCAGCTTGCCCCTTACCTCTCTGAGTTTTATTTATGTAACTCCACCCTCGTACTCTGACCTCCTGGAAACTGGGGCATACTCTATACACAGTGCCTGCCGTGGACGAACGCTGGCTGAGTGGGTGAATCAGTGTGGGCAGGGACATCGGAGGTGACAGAATTCACCCAGCTCCCTTTGGACTGGCTGTGAGATTAGATGGCTTGTAGCCGTGCCAGACCTCAGAGCTGTGCTCTGTGAGATGGAGACCATAAAAACCTACGCGACCAAGTTATTGTGACATTTAAACAAACGTCTTCAGCTTCATGCGTGGTACGTAATAAGCACTCAGAGGTTGACTGCTGTGAGTATTACCAAGTCTTTCACGGTCCAGCTGAACAACCGGTATTCCTGAAGTCTTCACAGGTATTTCCTGTCCACACGGTACCTTGGCTGCCCCAGGCCTCATGCACAGAGGAGAGTATGGCATAGGACATCCTCTTGTTCTTTTTATTTACTGCCACACCTGTGCTCCGCAGAGAGTAGGCAGAGACAGAAACAGAGGGAGAGGGAGAAGGCACCCCCGATGGGTCATGGTCACCCCACAGTCCCTTCTTCTCTACTTCTCATCCTGTTGAGATTTGGGGCATGCAAGCACATGAGCCTGGTGTGTTTTCCAAGCTGCTGGGAATCTGAATCACAGCCATGTGGGCTCCAACTCCCCTAACCACTAGGCATCCGGCGGGCCACGGTGCACTACCGTGCACTCTGAACACACCCTACGGAATGTCTGCTCTTCCCATGCATTCTTCAAGTTGCCTCCTACTTCAACAACGCTCAGACGAAAAGAGGATGGAGATTTGTTTTGGTCTAGAAACTACTTGTGTCCTTTTGCTGAGGCTCTTACTGGCACTGGAGCCTTAAACCAAAACCATGCACATTCAATTGCAGCTCCCACTGATGCAAAGGGACGCCAGCCACCATGAGTGCTGGAGCTCAGGGGAGGGAAGGGCGCCAGCAGGAGACAGGTGGTGACCCCAAATTAGAAATCAGGACTTCAGCGCTGAGGGGATGAGGTCTGGGAGGGGCAAGGTGCATTATCCCACCAGTGGCTGAGATTAATGTATGCACAGCACTGTGCCTCTGGGGAATACGGTACAGCCAGAGACCGGGCCAACTAATAACATGGCAATTAACAACATGCAGAAGACGTTAAGAAACTGAAAACAGATTATCTATGCCTTTTAACCAGAGTATGTGAAATTTGCTTTAGTAGACCAAAATTTTAATAATTGTAACAGGGTTATGAACTTGTGGGTGACATTTCCTTCTTATTAATTGCTCACACATTTTGTCGCAATGTCGTATATTCTCTCTCTCTCGCTATATGTGATTTTTTTCTTTAAAAACATATTCAGCGTGGCTCCCTCGCACTTGGCCCCAGGCCCACAAGCACGGTGCCCAAGACCCGCCCGGCAGAGGCTCCCAGGGCTTGGCCTGACTCAGCAGCGTGGGGCACGCGGCGAACCTGGGCGGCGGGCCTAGGCGCCGGCAGTTCGATCTCGCCCTTGCGGGGTCATTTCTGCGGCACGCTACGAAGTGCCTGCTGCAGGCCGCTCCAGGGCCCAGGCCCTGGCCGTGCTGTCCCCAAGCGCCCCTCGCGAGCTGTCGCCGGGAGAAGGGAAAAGCCAGGGAGCCCCGGGCCGGGCGCAGGC